TGGATGGATGGATGGATGGGTGCTTGTGAGCAGAACACTATTGCCAGCCTGGTTTCCAAACATAGCCACATTCTAAGAAACTGCTAACAAGATTGACTTTTTGAATTGAATTGTTGTGGGATGTTTCTTCCTGTGGTAGGACACTGTCAGGACAGGATTAAGAGGGGCTTTGACTTGAGAACCTAATATATTTAATGGAAATAGGGGAGGCTTTGATTTTTCCATGTCTGCCATAGAAAATCATTATAATTGCAGCTTGTCAGTTACTAGTGTCAGTAAAATTTTATTATTTTTAGTGCAATAGTTATTTTACTATCTAATATAATATTCATATTATTGTACAGAGTGCTCTGATATGCTGGTGTTCATAAGGGGCAGCTGAGACTGTAGTGAGAGTCTGTGAACCATAAGAGATTGAAGTCCAGTGTGTTACACTCTCTGGCCATGTTTGTGTTAAATATAGAAGACTAATAATGTGGCCTGCTTAGTATTTGGAGCCATTTTTAAAAACGATTGTAACCTTCAGTATCTGTCTTTGAGTAGGATTTATTTACATTTTCTTGTATTATTTTCTTTTTAAGTGGACTCACATCCATCATGAAGAATCATTCGATCCTCACTTCTTGTTTTCCAGCTATTCTAAAAGCATCTTTAATATATTGGCTTTATGGGAACGTATGACCACATTTAATGCTGAGGTTATAATTGCATGCAGTGGCAGCAAACTAAATTATGCCACATGCAGCAATTTCGGCATGTTGTTTCGGCAGTTTGATGCACACATGCTAATAATGTAGGGTTCCTACAGGCATTTCTTCCAGGGTAAGAGTAGGTTTTGGTGAGAATTTCCAGAAAATGGGATCTCAATTCAACCCTACTCACAGCCCAGAGTTAGTGGAATAAATGAATCCTCCTGGATTTAGGTTTGAGACCAGTGCATCTGCTGAACAAAACAGTTGCACTGTTTCCAAAGCAGACAAAGAATTAAAGTATAAGAAAAAATAAATGCAATTATAATTGAACATGTAGGACTCTGAAGGTTTTTTATGAGCTCATGGAGTTGTTTACTCTCATAAATCTTGTACTGAAAATACTCTGCTAATCTACCTTGTGATCTGCCTCGTGCTGCAGATTATACAATTTGTCTAGTTTACTGTTAATATACAGTTTTCTCTGGCTGTGAATCATCTAGTGCTCTGTTATTTTTCTTAACATGTATAGCTAGAAGGTTGATCCATGTCTATGTGTTAAAAGCACTAAATAATAGCTATTTGGGTGAGTGAAGACAGTTCCAATTTTGAGACTACACAGGAAGAAGGAAAAGAGAGACATTGGACAATGCAAAGTTGTTCTCTCGTATGTGCAGAGTGTCTCCTTCCTACATGAGTGTCTCCTTCCTACTGTGTGGTATGTCACATTGAACATGGTTTAGGCCATCCGACTTACCTTTTGATTTAAGATCTGCGCTCCTAAAACATACTGTACTGTATGGGGGTTTAGAGAAACATATAGTGTGCTATAGGGTCACACTACAACAAGTATAGAGCAAGGACACTGCAGTGGACCAGGGACAGAAAGAGGGGTAGTGTGGATAAAGCAGACAGACAGAACAGAGGATATGGGATGTGGTGTATATGGAAGGAAAGAGAGAGGGTCACTGTTTTCCACTCCCTCTCGTCCTCATCCATCTTAGCAGGGAGGAGGGGGGTGAATATGCAGTTAAGGGAGCTAGAGTTTTTTTCTTGCATAGCTGATAATAGTTTCCACTCTCTTTTGCTCTTATTTGAAAGTAGTGTGGACATTTAGCGTTTACATTGTAAATGTTATGTCTGTATCTTTGTCATAGTGCACAGTAAACAGTAGAAAATGTAACTGCAATTCAGGATTTTGCAGTTGCATGGTGGTATAAGGGGAGAGCACAGTTTAAATCTTGTAGCTCAAAATAATCGGTACACTGGTGTTTCCTCTCACTTATGTTTGACATGATGCAAGTGGTAAAGTTTCCAAAACTAGCACATCCTTCCAGAATGATTCTCATGGGTTGGAAAAATGTCAAAACTATGTATATGAAGTCATGTTTTATTGTTATTTTCTTACTTACAGTATTTAAAGTATGTAAAATGCAGCTTTTTGTTTGACTAAGTTTGATTTTAGTTTTATTTTATAAGAACCTTGGTTTATATGTGTGTGTACATGAGGAAGAAATAAAAGACAGAACGAAATAAAGAAAGGCTTTGTGTATACAGTTTGAACACACACATTAGTGTCTTCCTCTACAGCGTCTTAGCAGTGACTCACATAATACACCCCACAATGTACATGACTTATGTATATGGCTAGGTGGGCGCGCCTCAGTGCATTTGAATGCCTTCACAGTTGAACCATTGTGTCCTACTGTCTCAGTGGTAGGATGTCTGCGAGTGGATGACTAATCCCAGCATGTGTCTTTGCACCAGGAGTTTGAAAACACTGAGGGAGAGGAGTACCAGGCAGATCTCTCCGCCCTGGCCTCGCCTTCCTCCCAGAATGGCCCCGAGGTCTACATCCTTCCCCTCACGGAGGTCTCCCTGCCTGTCTCCAAGCAGCCTGGCAGATCCAGTAAGAACAACACCATAAACACATAACACCTCTAAGTTATACCTGCTTGGACTTTTAATGACCAGGTTTTCAGTTTAGTTTTTCATTCTTTTTCTCTCCTCTTCTCTCTTTTCAGCTTTCATATGTCACCAATCAGTCGTATAGCTTCAGTAGGTAACTTAATAAAAATGAATAAAATAAAAAAAACTTTTTGTGAAATTTTCTTTCTTTCACTATATGCTGACGATAGTACATGAGACAGATTATCTGTGAGAAAATCAGGTTCCTCTGAATCCACCACGCCTGGTTGTTTTCATTCAGGCACAGTGGATTCTTGCAAATGCCATTAGGAGCTAGATGAAACTGACTTTTTTCACAGTCTCATTTATCTGTCTCATGGACTACTGTCAGGATATAGTGAAAGTCAAAGCAAATATGACAGAAGGTTTTCATAAATTACCTACTGCAGCTTTAATTCCCAGCTCATCATAAATAGGGGATTTCTGCTACAGTAACAGACTATTAAGAAAGGTTGCTACCTCTATGGAACATAGTGGGATTACATTATGGTACATATCACTCACTTTGTTGATTTGGATGAGCTAAAACTGAGCACATTATGTCAAACTTAGTTGAAACAGACACGGCCTCTTTCATTTGTTATCTCGCATTACATGTCTCTTCTTTTTTGCCCTCTCTCTCAACAAGAGACAGACATCTGTCCATTGTGTAACGCCTTTAGAAATCGACCTACTACAGTGCTGCGATGCATACTGTATGTGAAAACTGCAGCCCACTGGAGAGGAAGGAATCTGACCTAGGCCTAGTGTGCATTATTTCTGGGGACCCGTGTGTGTTTGTAAATGCATGCAACATTAAATCAACATGAATATAATGTGACATTTATTCATATTTTACTTGAAACTTACATAATCAGCTGCTCATATTATGCTGGTGTGTTTAATTTGTATTCTATATCCATGATCCTTCCCAGCAACGTCATATCCTGTTTGTTTTTCTTCAGGCCATTGTGCCTCACACCCAGCCTGTTAAAATGTGTATGTACATGTAGGTGGTGTGTCACAACTACGTGTGTGTGTGTGTGTATGTGTGTGTATGTGTGTGAATCTCAGTGTAAGCCAGATCCTGGGTGCTCAAACTGCCTCTCCCTGTATGACTCACTGGGTGTCTGCGCTGCACTGTGCTCAGCCAGAAGGGAGGTGAGTTGGGGCTCAGCATCCTAGGATGTGAGCTGCTCCAGCAATGATTGGACAAGGCAGCCTCGGGCTTGCAGCCAATCACTAGCCTCCCCTCTGTCCTCCATAGCTACGGCTGTATGATTGGTCCAGGTGTTGCAGGGAGAGGAATGGATAAATGGCGAAAGGAGATGAGATTGTGAAAGGGGTAGAATGTCTCCTTTCACTGAGTCAGAGAGAGATCTCTTACTCATTCCTCTGCTCTTACGTGAAGACAGTAAAACCTGTTGTATTATTATATTAACTTCTTTACATACTGGGAATGTTTAATATTTGCAGCCTTTCCATTTGCTTTGCAAAGAGGATGATCTCATATTGCATCAAGAAGCTACAGGTCCAGGACTGAACAGACTCCTCCATAGATATTAACATTATGCCCATGTCATAAATTATCCACCCCCACACTGACACGATGAGCCTAGTAATTGCACGTTGAACAAAAACACCAGTTATAACGTTTCTACCCTTACCATGAATGGTGTATTCTATATGAGCCAAGCATCACTTATACATCTGTGTGAACACACAGTACAACGTTTGCCACTGATTTCACAGTCCTGCTTTTCACGCTCTAATATTTTATTCAAGAGGTCATGTAAAGCTTTCAAACCCCGCCACAGAGTTCTCGATGCATCAAAGTGAGTGAATCGATTGTGTGTATCATTCCACGGGCCCACCGATCCCGTGTCAGTGTCATTGGACCCTACCATCTTCTCTGGGAATGCCATGAGTAGGACGGGAATGCACCCTTACGCTCACACATTCCACATTTGGAATAATACCACTTCTTAATTTCTCTTTCTCTCTCGGGCAGGGAGGGGTGGTGGAGGCTTGGGGAGGATTGGGTTGGAGAAATGTGGGTCTGTTATCATCGTGACAACCTCTGCCCAGCGTTCCAGTGGAGAATGGGCCTTGTGTGTGTCTGCATATGAGTGTTTGCGTGCTTGTGTGTGTGTGTTTGGTGCACTGGGTACCAGGAGACGTAGCGTGAGCGTGTGAGTGAGCGGGCCAAACAATGGCCCTGATTTAGGCCGGCTGGGCGGTGGGTGAGCATAAGGCCGGGCTGAAACGTCCATGGAACGCACCAGTGGAGGACTGGCATTATGGGCAGAATACAGTGAAGGGTCTGTGACAGAATGAGGAGAGACAGGCGAAGGGTGGTGGCATGCACCAGGACCTAAGAGCGGGGAGGGGAGGCTTGAGATAGGGGTGGTGAGTGTGTATGACAGAGGTCTTTTCTGCATCTGACAGAGCAGTGTTTGTGTCCTGTTTGGCTGAGGAATGCTGCTGTCCTGGGTGACAGGGGGGCATTATGTGGGCCTTATGTCACTACTGGGTGTCTTGAAGCTGCACACAGAGCTGGCGCGTCAAACGGCACACTACCAACATGCGTGACGGTCACATCAGGCGTGATCCATGACCGGAGAATCTCAGCGGCCAGGCCAGATCTCCTTTGCAGAACCTTCGGCAGACTGGTCCGTGAGAAGTTTCTCTCTTGCTCGGTTGACTGTAGATTTAAACATAGTCTGTATAGGAACCAAGGATTTCGGTGTTTGCTCGACAGCTGGAGAGCTCCAGACGAGGACAGTGTGTGTGTTTGTGTGTGTCCCAGTTGGAGAATGAGCTCGGTGGAGATGGGGAAAAGGCAGCGTGGCAAGCTTGTTCAGCTGTGTGAGGGCTCCGAGGGTTAAATCCTGCCGAGGCTCTCTCACACACACACTGCGACCGTGGACTCTTTCTCACATACACACAATGAGGCTAAGACGCCTGGGGTTGGGGCTGGGGCCATGGGCTCTCGGTTCTCACACTCTGAACCAGTACTTCATCCCTGCCTGGGACTTGGATTCAGTCCCTATCACGGTGCTCAGAGTGGCTGGCCGCTCCTTTGCTCCGCCAGCATCATCATCTGTCCACTCACCATCATCATTTCCGTTCATTAAATATGAGGATCCATGGAGGTATTTGAATTTGTGCACGACTTAAGTATGCTTTTCGGAATTGTGGTGTGCCTCTGTAGTGAACTTTTGTGTGATGGTGGGAAGCTTCCTTGAACGCGTAGATATAAGTTGGGTTTATTTGCCTTCAGGCGATTTTTCCTCTTTAGTTAATTGACTATTTATTTAGGGAAATGTACATTTATTGTCTGTCTGAGAGGAGGTTGCTTTTATCTCTTCTTAACTATGTGGTGATTCCTTGTCTTGTAGGGCTCCATTTCTATTTAAATTTTGGAATTTTATTCAGTTTACTTATCCTTCTTTTTTTCTTTCTTTTCCCTTAATCAGTATGTCTTTCTGACTGCTCTTTTCAGTCCAGCTTCTGAAATCATCAGACCTTGGCCGCCATAGTCTACTGTATCTAAAGGAGATTGGACACGGTTGGTTTGGCAAGGTAAAACATGCTTTCTTGTTCTTAAAACATACACACAAACACACACACAAAGTGTTTGCATCCAGAGATGCCACTCTTATACTCATAATTACTTGCTTTAACCGTTTCAACTGTACTCCAATGTCCTTTCTACTCTGTGTGGAATGCGAGGGTAATGTGATGATGATCTCATTCTAGCGAGGCTAATCTTTGGCACTTGTGCCAGGGTGTTTATTCCATGGGAGAAATGTTGAAATTCAGAGTCACAGTGAATTCCTTACAATTTAATGTACAGTACATGCTCCTGATTTGCTCATGCACCAGTCTCTTTGTCATGTCTATTGTTCGTTTTTCTCAGTTTGCAACTGTTTGTTGATGCACTTTGTTGTAAATTACAGTATACATTCCTAGAGTTTCTGTATACTTCTCAGGTCCTGCTGGGTGAAGTCAATGCGGGCCTCAGCACCACCCAGGTGGTGGTGAAAGAGCTGAAGGCCAGCGCCAGTGTCCAGGATCAGATGCAGTTCCTGGAGGAGGTGCAGCCATACCGGTGAGCTGAAAGATAGGCTGATCTCTCACACATCACTGCCCTTCAGCCCATAAATAGCATTGTATAGCTATAAAACAACGTAAATTAGTTATCTGATTATTTGTATGGCCTTTGTTGATTCATACTTACTCAAATCCTGTTTCCTCTGCCAGAACCCTCCAGCACCCTGCCCTACTGCAGTGCCTGGCACAGTGCTCAGAGGTCACTCCTTATCTGCTGGTCATGGAGTTTTGCCCTCTGGTGGGACACTTATTAATGATCCAATTCTATCTGTTCAGTACTTCCCATGTACCACAATATCCCCTTTGTGAATTGTTGTTTGGATTATTCATAAACAGTCAGAGCAACCTCATTACCTTTCTCCTCTCAGGGTGATCTGAAGAGCTACCTGCGCAGTTGTCGTGTGGCTGACTCTGAGACTCCTGACCCTTTGATCCTCCAGCGAATGGCATGTGACATTGCCTCAGGGCTTCTGCACCTCCACAAATACAACTTTATACACAGGTACAGTATGTCTAGTCAGTTCAGCTCTATTTACCTTCATCAATATCCATTCTCTATAAAGGAGGAATCCACCTGAAAGTGCTGTGCGCCCCCTGCTGGTCTCTCCCTGCAACAACATCCTGGTGCTGCCTGAGTAGTGTCACAAACTCCAGCATCAGTGATTTTGTTGCCGGGGGCGAACCCCTCTCGCAGCCATGTGGTGGCTGCCATAGCAACCAATCAGTGGCTGCCAGGCGAAAGAGCTCCCTGTTAGTGGAGGAGGTGAGATTAAATAAAGTGACTTAATTTAGTCTGTGTCTTTACATGGTCAGGAGAGAAGAAACAGTACATCATACTATACTAGTACACATTTTATCATATGCTTTCATCAATTCTGTGGCTACACAGGACAATCATAATGCAGTGAGACCTATTTATTGACAGTATGTCACATCCAATATGTTACATATATGATGAAATGATAGAAAACGTTGCATAGTATACATAATAATAATAATAATATACCGACTATACGGTACCAATTGTAATGTTTGGGGGCGGCTGTGGCTCAGAGGTAGAGTGGGTTGTCCCCTAATCAGACAGTTGGTGGTTTCAAGGAAGCTCTCGAAAGCTCCAAGGAAGTGTCCTTGAGCTAGATACTAAACCCCAAGTTGTGTGAATGTGTATGAATGGAGATAAACCTTAGTTTCTGTTTCTGATGAGCAGCCGATGCCATTGTATTTTGATTAAATGTTGATAAAAAGTAAAATAACTAAGAAAAATAACCAAATACTACTCTAACTTAACAATGTTGTTCCTCGCATATGATTTTATCGCTCCTACTGAGAGGTATGTTTATGCTTCTCAGTAGTAGTATTAAATTAAAAGTAGTATTATTTGTTGACTGTATGGTGTTGTCTGCAGGTGCAGTGATGTGGAGATGAATCTCCCCCTTGGAGGACAATAAATTGAATCTTGATCTTAAACCACACTTTCCTTTGTTTTTACAGTGACTTGGCTTTGCGAAACTGCTTGCTTACTTCAGAAATGTCAGTTAAGATCGGAGACTATGGCCTTTCTCACAGCCGATACAAGGTCAGGTCTTTTGATGATTTTCATTGACTACTTTTTACCTTATTGCCCTATCAGTACTCAAATATTTTTTATTTTGTCTGTTGTCCTATAGGATGATTACTACGTAACACAAGACCAGATCTGGGTGCCTCTGCGCTGGATTGCACCTGAGCTCATAGATGAGGTCCATGGCAACCTGCTGGTCGTTGATCAAACAAAATCTAGCAACATATGGTAAGATATTTAAAGAGATAGTGATAAACAGTAAATATTACTATTACTAATTTTAACATTGATTTTCTTTGTGTATGTATAAATGGGAATTAAGTGCTCTAATTTTGATATCTAGATTATATTTCTAGATTTTTTTCTTTTATATTTGAGGGTTGATGCATCTAAAATTCCTAACAACATTTACAGCAACTTGGATGGATTTAGTTTTAGCCCATATCCAGGAACGTGTTGTGTTTTCTTGTTATCTGCTTTTGGCAAACTCTTTGGGAAATATGTGTACAGCACAAATATACTTGTGACATATAATAAAAAAGGTCACAGTATGAAATTAATGGAACATGGCCATGTCTGGTCAACACACTAAATGATTTCTTTGCCTGTTTCAGGTCATTGGGGGTGACTGTGTGGGAGCTGTTGGAGCTGGGAAACCAGCCGTATAGACATTACTCTGACAGACAGGTGCTGACATATGCTGTGAAGGAACAACAGCTCAAACTACCCAAACCCAGGCTCCAATTCCCCCTGGCTGAGCGCTGGTGAGACATAGTTGCATGCCTGCACACACACAGAGAAATTGTAGAATACATACACATATGTAAATAAACATGCACAGGTTGATACTCAGAGTGTTATATATATATTGATACAATACACATAAGATACATTTTAAACATTATTAAGCCTTCAGGTCTTGCTGACCAATTAATTTCTAACAAGTCAGTGTGTCCTGTTTTTAAAATTGGTTTCTGCTTATGATGGTGCACCAGTCCATTCTAGCAATATTTCTCTTTGCTAGCAAGGGCAGATGATCAATACATTCCCTATTATTTATGATCCCCTTGGCATCGACCAGAGTTGAATTACCTCATTCATCTTTACCTGGGATGCCAGCCAAACATTGTTTTTATTTATTTATTTTTCAAAATTGTTTCCTCACTAAATTAAATGTGCTTGGAACCAACACTGAGTAGCAACACACAAACACACACACACACACACACACACACACACACGGAGGAATGTAAACATCTAACTATGTCAGCATCTGCACTTCATCTCCTCCTTACACTTTATATGTCTTTGGCTATTGTCAAAACACAATACAACTAGGTGTTGCTAGAAAGTGCTGACTTCGAAAGCTTTCTTTTATATTGCATATATTTTGCTTTGCCGTACGTAAAACACAATGTTCTTAAAATAATACGTAAGGAGATTTACACAATTATAACTTGTTGTGACTTATAATCTCTTATGCCTCTGATCATTTCTCCTCTTTCTGTCATTTCCATCCAGGTATGAGGTGATGCAGTTCTGCTGGCTGCAGCCAGAGCTGAGACCCAGCAGTGAGGAAGTGCACCTTCTGGTCACATACTTGTGTGCCAAAGGCTCCAGTGAGGCTGAGGAAGACTTTGAACAACGTTGGAATGCCTTGAGACCCAACCTGCTCGGTAGCACCTCCCATACAACGACATCCACAGCACTGAACCTGACCCCTACACCTGCCTCAGCTGACGACCCCAGTGCAGAACAAACTCAGGCAGTGGAGCTGGCTTCCTCTGCCTCGTCCTCCTTCCCTCTCCTAGAGCACTTCTCTGATAGCTACCACTCTGACACAGGGGACGACCTACTCACTGTCACAGAGACCAGTCATGGTCTCAACTTTGAGTACAAGTGGGAGCAGGCCCGAGCTGAGCAGCCCTACTGCTCCTCCTCCACCAGTGGGCCACTGGGCCAGGGGAACCCTCATTACCAGGATATCTACTATTCAAGTAAAGGAAGCATCTCAGGGGGCTGCAAGACTGACAGTCTGACCTCAGGCATATCCCCATCTTACTTTGAACCTGAACACCCGGGTGTGGTCCCAGTGTTGAGTGCCCATAGCCCCTCTGTCAGCAGCGAATACTACATTCGCATAGAGGAACCAGTAGAGTGTAACATTAACCTGGATGACAGCATAGTGGACTACAGCCCAGGACTGGAAGCTAGCAGCAGCAGATTGTCCTCTGAGAGTCGGACTGGTTCATCCTTGGCACAGCCCAGTGCTTACTGGGCAACTGCTGACAACACTAAGTCTACTGCCTATGACTCTGATTCAAGCCCCACTGTCCAACTAACCATGGAGCCACTGCTGAGACAGGCATCCAACACCAGTCCTGTAAAGCTAGGCCACTCGCACAACTGCTTCTCATCCAGTCAGGATGACATGGTCTACTGTGAACAGTCATCAGCATACACGACACGCCGCCAATCATTTCTGTCTGAACTGGACACATCGCCAGAGTCCAGATCAAACCTTGTCCATCCAGCAGGGCATTTAGAAAACCCACGCAGTTTGTCAAAAGCAGTGAGCAGCCCCAGCTTAGGGTTTTGCGATCCCTACCTTGAAGCAAGCACAGGTCGTAGCACCGTTAATGAAAGTTGCCATAATATGATAGGTCCCATCAGAAAGACACTACCAATTGTTAACCACATTAGCATAGATGTAGGGACAGACGACGGCCTGCTGGTGGGCCAGCAGAGAGGTGAAGACATTGAGGATGACCTTTTCTCTGAAGGAGAGCCCACTAACTGGACTTCAAACCATTCAGCAAACAATAATAGCTTGAGCTTTGACAGCAGGCAGACAGGCAGTGGGCATGACGGCTATCTGGACCTTCAATATACTGATCACTCTAACACAAACGAATTATGGTCTTTAACCAAGGCCACCACCAGAACCTTCCACAGCTCCAGGTCTTGTGGCACCTCGGAAGCAGAAGGAGAAGACTATGGTTCTAATGCTGCTAGCAAAACCACTGAATTAGGTTCATACATTTACTTATATCACAAAGAAAGAGAGGAATCTGCCACTAAAGTGGAAAGGAACTTAACTGCAGAAAATCTAAGAAATTCTCTTACCAGCTCAAGTATACATGCCAGGGGTATAGAGGGTGGAAAAATTGAGGGAAAATACGAAAAGCAATTGTTGCTTAATGGAGAGAGACTGTACTCTGAGCCTAAGATGATACCTGAGGCCAGCTATATAAAGTCCCCATCCTTCAATGAGCTTCAGACTGGTAAAACAGGAGCCTTATCAGTCAAGCAGAGAGGTAATATCTGGGAGGGAGTTTCAGCAGGAATCTCTATTGGTCTAGGAGACAAGAGGCTAAACTATCCAGAGACATCAGAAAGTAGCAGAGCATTGGACAGTGGTGTGGGGGTCAGAAACTCCAGCATTAGCCTAGCTGAGCTTGGTGACTACAGTGAGGATGATGACGATGACATCACAGATATTACTTCAGGGATCTTTGCTGACTTCAACCTGGACTATGCTGAGGTAGAAGATGAAGAGCTGAGCCCACTGAAGAATTCAGAGAGAACCTCTGACTCTGTAGACACCCTTAACCTGTCCTCATCAATGGCAAGCACCTGTGATCAGGGCTTCAGCCCTGATCCCTTCAATACCCCTGTCCTACCCAAATCCCTGGACAGTGGCTATGACACAGAGAACAACGAATCTCCAGAGTTTATCTTCAAAGAGCTTGGAGATCCCCGGGGTGGTGAGAGGAGCCCAAGGCTTGGTGGAGAACCTGAACTAGTTCTGCAGGTGGGTTTAGGCCAAGGGGTCTGCACTTCCAAAAACACTTCAGAGCTACACTTAAAGGGCCTGACTGATAAGAACCCATACAGGGATTCAGCCTATTTCTCTGACTATGATGCTGAAAATGAGAGGAGTCCTCAAGAGGAAGGCAGAAAGGTCTATGCAGGTCCCCGTAACTTCACTGCTGAGAAATTGAGCTCTATTAAAGATGACGATTCTGTCAAAAGGCAGTTCAACCATGAAGATCATTTAACAAATCTGAGACACATCAAAAATTGTGTTTTGGTGAATCTCTCAGAGGCTGACACTAGTTCCTCCCATCCAATTCCCACCCCTGGGTTGTCCATGCTGTCACCCTTTCCTCCGCAGATGGGCGGTTGCCTCACCAAAGAGTCTGCCCCTGCAGATGATGATCTCGGGCTGGACACAGAGCACTCAGGAGAGGAGCCTTCCTCAGAGCTTAATTCCTCCATTGGGTCTGAACCCTCTTCCACTGTCCAGGAGGCCTCAGGAAACAATGAGGAGGGGAACAGAAGAACAGAAGATTGCTCCCCTGTCCAGTCTTTGCATTCTGACTCCACTATAATTGATTACAGAGATGAATCCCCCAAAGAAAAAGAAAATGGTGATGCATCCACAGAGGAAGAAGAGCTGCCTGAATTCAATCATGTCCAGGAAGAAACGGAGGACAAAAGGGAGGCTGTGAGAATAAATGAGGAAGATTTTGAGGACATAGATGCTGAGGAATGTGACTCACAGGACAGTTTATGTGAAGAATCCAACGGTCATACTGACCTGTCTTCTTCCTCGTCATTGTTGGAGCTGTGCGGAGAAGCAGTGAGAGCTCCGCTGGAGGAGGCAGAGGATGAAGACGACTCAGATGACAGTGAGTCTGATGAAGAGTTGCGGACCTACAACATTCAAGATGAAGACAGTGAGGAGAGTGAGGAGGATTTCACCACAGTGCCAGTGGTGGTAAGTGACTGCAGCAGGGCTAGACACCTCCGCAGCCTCCTGAAGATGCCCACCCTGCTCACCCAGTCCTTCTGTGACGAGTTGGAGAGGAAGAAAAAAGCGGTGTCCTTTTTTGATGATGTTACAGTGTTCCTTTTTGACCAGGTATGACACATTATTAGGTCAAAGTTGTGCAATGTGTATTATTGATTGGTTAGATTAATTTATTGCTTTAGAGTATGTGTCAACTATATTTGTTTGTGACTTCCAGGAGAGCCCCACAGGAGAGCTGGCTGACTTCGCCTTCTCCATAGGAGCAGAGTCCAGTGAGCAGGAATCTTCAGAGGAAAACACCTTAGACCACCTGCTGCAACTTGACCCTGAACCTGAAGCTGAACTTAAAACTCACTCCTGTGAAACATACTGTGTTTCTGAAGAAAAAGATGGAAACAACTCAGAAGAGGGTGGGTTTGTCATGGATAATAATGGGATGGTATATAATATTATCATGTATCGTGATAAAAAAAACACTAAGATAAGTGTACCGTGGTGAATTCCATCATTGGGATAAATATCCTCAGAAGTGACTTAAATTGCTGTCTAGCTCGCTTTTAATTGCCACAAGGGGAAGCTGCATCTTTCCAGTCATTGGCAAGACTGTCACTGTGGCAGTAGGCTCAGCTTGCCCATTGAATCCCCCACAACAAAAAGTTTAACAGTATGTGTGGAAATAGAATGGATTCCAAACTAAAGAAGGTCTGAGTTGTCCCATCTGTTATGCAATCAAAATGTTTTTTTCTTAACAAAATGTAAAAGTGAAAATATCTTGAATGTTGCCATTCATGATATTTTCACTTTACTTCACTTTATTTTGGCCAGAATAATTGTGACATGTAATTTTCATTTCATCTCATGCCTAATCAAGGACATAAAATGTTACATCCTTGTTGAATTATGCCAGATTGTTCACAATAAATGTAATTGTATCTGTGTGCATTCAGGTGGAGAATATGAATGGAAAGATGACCTCTCATTTAAGCCGCGCACGTCCTCACCTGACACCATCCATGAGCCCAAGTCCTCACCCACATCCACCTCCAACAGTCCTGAGGCTCCTAAACCAGCCGCTGTAGCACTTAACCGTTTTATGGTTTCACGATTCTCTATCACACATGTCTCTGACCCCCACATGGCCTCAGCAACAGGTCTGTATTAACTGTCTTTCATACTTGGACTACATGTATAATGTTAATTTATATGCACTGAAAATACGATCTCACATTTATAATCTAAAGTATTTAAAGTCCAACTGAAAATAAATTACACAGGTTTTTTGGGGTTTTTGCTAATCTCTAATCTCACAAACCAGAAGGGATGAGATTTCATGATCTTTGCATTAATCTGTCACAGTACTGTTAGTTAGTTGTCTACGTAGACAAGAGAACTTGCTTCGAAATGGCCAGTCAAATTGCCTCATTTATAATCAAGTGTGCATAAAGAAGAAAGATGAAAAGATTTCAGCGTTCTATCATAAGAAGAGCAGACAGTCACACTGATGGTCACACTGACGGTCACAGCCACAACACAAGAGCAGCAGTCTTTCAACAACAACCCACATTAGCTTTCCTGCTAAAGTCTCCTTCTTGTCTAATTTACAAACTTACTTTATGAACAAGCGACCAAACATTGGTTTGGAGGGTTGATATCTAATTAGCTAGCTGCAGCACAATACAACAGCATGTAAATGTACCTGCAAACATAACTTTTTGACTGCAAAAAGTGTCTAACTGACTAAGTGTGATTTCAGTTGGAGTTTAAAATTTGTCTTGAGTATCACTTTAAACTGTTTGATTTGTCTCTCTTACAATGAAAGCTAAAATACTTATTTTCAATTGTTTCCAACAGGGAGCAGTGAAGATAGTCCAAAAGATTGAGTGCCCTCTGGTTCTGACTGGAGGAGGATGAGTCCTGGTCCTTCTTGACCCAGAAAAGCAGCATTACTATATCTAGATGTTTTACAGAGTTTTATTTTTTATCAATGTTTGGGGCATCTGACCCTGGTGACCCTTTATGAGACAGTGCCTCATATTGTAGTGGAAGACCCTCAATGATTTGCACACTTTGTTTTTGTTTTTTATTTTGTGAAGAAAGAACGATAGCTGCTGGTATGGCAACCTGACTGAGACAACACGGAGAGTTTTCAGATCATATCCTTTGCATAAATAGATATCATCAGTATATAAGTTTTAACATGCAGTATATGACAATAACTTATTTGTTCAATGCAGTATAAATTTTTTTGGTCACCTTACGGGTCATTAAATTAGTTAATTTAGAAGAAAAAGAAAAATAAGGAGAGAAAAACTAGTGAAATGACAGGCTTCATAGCTATTCCTCTCGTTGGCTGCCTTGGTCCATCTGCTTACCCTTGATCTGGCATTTTTAAAGACTGTTACAGCTCTCATTGTTGGAGCCAGAGAACACTGCTTGCCTATTGTCACATAAGAAGAAAGCTGTGGTGGATTTCCAAACACATAATCTGACTTTTTAACAGCCGTGGGTGGTGGTGATGGTGTTTGAAGATAGAGGTGCTGAAACTTAATTTGTCCCTTCATCCAAGTAATTTCCAAATCATATCGATGACAGAACTCGGTGTGCTATCTTAAAGGAAACATAATACAGTGTTCACTCCTTAATTATCACCACCACTCACTCTGGATAACAGTGACCTATAATATATGTCTACAGTTACCATATCTGTCTGAAGCACTTTGTATAGCTAAACTGGGTCTTTATTTGTAGAAGTGAAGGTTTTTGTTGCTCTACATCTCCCCATCCCGGAATGAAATATCTAAACGTGAGGTTCCCTATTTGTGTCCACAGTGCCAGCTACAGATTCACTTTATTTTGTGGCATATTAGCTTGGTTTGTATTAATTTCATCAGCAATAGAGTGACACCAAAGGGATAGAGAGGTGTTTCAACACAATTCAGCGGTGTCATGTCATAAATGTTGAATGTCAGTATCATCTTTATGCATCTTTTCTATGTCTATGTATTGCCCATGTTCTCATACATAATGTATTCTATTACATTTGTGCTGAATGCTCGGGTCTGAGGTATACAAAAAAAAGAAAAAAGACATTCAAAATATGACATATCTCACATATTGTATGAATGTTTTATCAACATGTAGCAGGTAGCTTGACTTGAATTACTACTGCTGTATCAACAGCTCCCTCCCCCTCTCTATCTTTCTGTAGCTCAAAGTGCCAATTCTGTTTCCTCTCACCTTGCCCTTTAAGTTCTGCAAGAAGAGAAAACGTCGCTAGTATTTTTGTACGATTTGAAAAGATGCAATCCAGGATGACAGTCTCTCAAATTTGCCAAAGAGATATTACAAAGCCTATTGGCTAAAGTGGCAGACACCTTTGGAGACGGTGAGGTGGGCTGTTCCGTGCACCGGTAGTAACAACATTGCTGTTTCCATTTTTCCCTCACTCATTGCTATTGTACTATCCCAAACAAATAAATCCAGATACTTTTTTCCCTTCTTGTGTCTGTGATATATCTATCTGCAGGGATGTCAAAGGAGTGCAATTCTCTGTGAAACATACATGAAACAACAAAACACATGACGGTATGAAGTTTATGCCCATTTAGATTTATTTTGGACAGATAATTTATATGCACTTTCTGTACAGTACAGATATATTACAAACAGGGACAAAAGTGAGAAATGGACAATGAAAGCTATATAAAAGTAAAAAATGCATTTGAAACTTGCTGCGTAATAAAAGCCTGATCATATCACTCAGTGTAAAGGACTCATCCATGGAAAAATTACTTTTCATGAAGCAACTGTTGATTTATTGCAGTGTAAGAGGCCTTTTTAGCTCATTCACACAATCATACACATTATTGCTTTTCCATCACATACAGTTTTGACTATTATTCCCACACCTTATACTGTAGATAAATTCCTGTTTTTTTTCCTTTTCTCCCAGATGAGTGTATAATACTGAGAATGAATGATCACAAGCCATGATAATACTGTACCTTATCTGATAAGCTACCACTCCCTCAAAGCGAAAAATAAAAAGCATGTACTTTATTTCATCTCTTAGCTATCTGGAAGCTTAGATATTACTGAAACTTGAAGAGAAAGAAAGAACAGCAATTCAAAGAATTATTGTAATATTTTGGTGGAGTTTGCACTGTACTGGAGCTTGCTAAGCAAAAAAAAAACAAACAAAAAAACACAAGCAAAACAAAACTATTTTCAGGAATATCAAAAATACATGTTAAACTGTGATGCATATGCCCTCAAACCACCTTACAGGATGATTGGGTCAATGCTGCATGAAGCATATGTTTTAATAAAAAGTAGAAGGCACAGTTCCCACATTGAAAATATGGGTATACTGTATTACAACTAGTAAATATATAGACTATATCACTTAACAAAAGCAGAATTATAGTTTACTCACCAACTGTCCAGTTCTAGCTATCTGTGCCAGTATCCAATCTACACTTTGTCTTCAGTGCATATTACAGTGATGCGCTAAAAACTAATCAACCATCTTCTATTCACCCTCAAGCCTCACTTAAACAGCTAATGCGGAGTGTGCCTTCACTGCTCATTAATGTAAATAATCCTCAAATGAAATTTACAGTGTATAGTGTTGAAGAAAAAAAGAAATCCCATAGTAGAAGTGCAGATAAATAAGAATGTGACGGCATCACAAGTAAAACCTATTAGCCATACCTTATCCACAACTGGTGGGATCTAACTAACTAATAAAATCTATTGTCACACTTGCACTTGAATGCTCAGGCTGAGACATTCAATGTTTGTGAAAGCCTTTCGCAAAACTTCACGAGGATTAACCGGAAAGTCTCCAAGTGAATTTACACGGTAAAGAAACTAGATTCTTAGTGTAGTGTAACTTGTTCCTTGAGGTGATTTTTTTCCCCCTCCAGTCACACTGCTGGGCCCTCTTATCAAGACATTATACAAACATGCCAATGTTTCTCCCCTTAAAAAAGGGCCCATTAGTGGACAAAAGAGGACAGCAGGCTGTTAGTAGAAGATGGGCGCAGATCGGTCATCAATGAAGGTGGGCCGGAGGTAGACCTCCAAGGAACGGTCACTGTGGGGAGAGGAGGGGTGAGACAAGGAACAGTGACAGTTAGGTTGAAAACATGACAAAATTTTGAGAGATACATGGTTAACTACGTAACCACACCCAGAAGAAATCATCCTTCCTATAGTTTTGTTTCTTATAGTAAGCTGAGCAAACAGTTGCAGCATCTACTGTGAGTTTTAGCAAGCATGTAGTGAGAAAATTCTAGTAAAATATGAAAAAAAAAAAAAAGATAACAAAAACAGCTTGCAATAGACACACATGCAGGGTTAGTGCCTTCTTTGTATTGTATTGTGATACACACAGAGTTTAAAAAAAGAAAGAAAATAAAAAGAATAATTATTCTTTTACAACCCAAGACCTGCTGGACTGACAATCAAATGCTGCCACATCCATGTAGGCCAAAGGACAGAAAAGACCAGTGATTCCCAGCATCCTACTGCAGCCAGACAGCCAATGACAGCAGAGGGCAGTAATAGAGATAGAGAGAAGGAGAAAAGTGATTGGCTGGCTGAAAGATGGAGGCTGGTGACTTACGGAGGTCCTGTTCCCTCAGAACCGGGACAATTCTGGACCCAAACTGGAAGGTAAAGAGAACCTTTGGGTTTGAATGGCTCACCTCTCAGATCATGCATGGGTCACATTTTGTAACAACACTGCTGGTTAGTCTGGTGCAAGATGAACATACTGTAGGCTGATAATAAGAACTGTAACTGAAATGAGGGATGGAAAACAGAGGTACACACTTCATGCTCAACATGCCGTTTACTGTATGCTCTTTTTCAAACCCTAAACTACGTAATGTAAATGCAATGCAATCAACAGGCAGGTGTTCTGAAGTTGTGTCTGCATTATTATGCCTATCACCTAAATACAACTCAAACACAAGGCAAAAATATATATCAAAAAGAAAAAAGAAAAAAAAGAAAGATAAGCAGGCAGGCAGAGTTCAGATACTCACAATACACACACACTGTACACAACACCACCACACGCACTGACAGTCTTCTGCTTTTTAAGTGACACAGAGAGCACCACCGATGCTATGGGTGTTACTGGGGAGGGGCAAGGATGAAACTGCATGCTGCTTGAGATGATTGACACAAGGGTGGAGGTTTTAAAAAAGGAATTAATTTAAACATTTAAGGGGGGGGGTCAGTTCAGAGCCATGACTTTGAAACAAGGAAAATGTTCAACAAAACTGAAAATGCCATTGTTACTGACAGAACAGATTTCTCGTCAGACCAGACTGTTTATTAATATATAGAGATATGTTTTATTTAGAATACCTTTGTAAAAAGTCACCATACATTCAAGGTCAATTTTCAGTATCACATTTTTCTGGTTTCCCTCCACAGCATGCATAAGATAAACACTTCAACTAATCAGTAGTTCAGTCATTGTTTCTGGCAATATTTTCTTCTTTTTTTTTTTTTACAAGGACAATAATTGTTTAAAAGAAAAGACCAAAAACTACATAGCCACTCAGGGAATACAATCATAAATAACACTGAGCTGCAAAAGCCGTGGTCAGTTAACCTAAAAACGAATTCACAGCTGTTATTGAGGATACTCAAACAGAAGATCAAGAAGACCCCTCCAAACTCACTGTAGCTTCAGAAAAAAGACCAAACTGAAGGTTATATTGGAAGTGACGCATTTTATTTGAAACTGACAATTCTGGCAGGAAGTTCAGCCAAGAATGGCAAAAAGACAGTTTCTTTGGGGCTGTGTGTGGAAAGTTAAATCGGAAATTGATGTGAAAACTTGTTTTTGCGAAGATCATAATACAGTGCAATTTTGTGGACTGACGGAAACAATTTAAATATATATATATAGAGAGAGATATATATACTGTATATTCTTGAAGCTCAATTTGAAGATTTGCTTCACTGCACATAAAGTATGTGTTTAATAGAAAAAAAGAAGCAAAGTAAGGCAAATATGACACACACACACACCCTCTGGACGGAAAATTAAGTGTAGCACTGACACAAGGAAGCACAGCGCGACCTACGGGATCTCTCAGAACAGAAACATAGTAATCTGCTGCACAGCCTTACTTTGAACAAAGCTTTTTTTTTGAGCATGTGTGTGTTGGGTGGGAACTTGATAACACTGGGCCCACGTGTGCTTAAAAAGGCCATTCAGCCAGTGGCTTTAGTACAATGACATTGAAGTCTTTTGGCACTTGTACAGTACATGAACATGTCCTTTAGTTTGACAAAATGACACAACCATGTACATGCATGAAAGACAAGCAGTAGCAAAGGCAGTCTCTTGAGAGATCAGTCCGTGATGGTGGACTGTGATCAGAGATAGAGTATTCAGAGTCCATATCGCTGCATGCCGAGCAGGTAGGCCCCGCTCTGGCTCTCTCGCTCAACGCAATCCTCCACCCACCAACCGCTACTGTCCACACCGACACCACCAGCAGCAGCACCCAGGACGGACGGAAGGAGGAAAGGAAGGACCCGGGGAGGAAGAGAGGACAGAAAGGAGGGATGAAACTGGCCTCTTCCACTTGGAGAAGGGGTGTGTGTGGAGGCAGGGGAGGAGAGGTGGAGATAAGTGGACAGGAGGGAGGCTAAGTGGAGGGGGAAAGATGGGGAGGAAGAGGCCCCTGTGCTATCCGGAGCTGTCTGTGTCTGTCTGTATGTCTGTTCTCACACAGTCGAAATCAATTTGCCATCAGGACTGTCACTGTGGAACAAAGAGAGAAGGAAGCTTGCCAGGTCGGACACACTCAGAGAGAAATGGAGAAAGACAAGACAGGCACAAGGAGGCTCGGTAGAGTTTAGGAGAAGTGTTAGGTGGGGTCAGGAAATCATGGTTGCCCCACCTACAGCTTCAACTCCAAACACACCTGCCGTGATCAGGAAGATTGGACTTCCAATTCCCTCATCAACACATTTTTTATATGGATGTTTGCTGGTTGGATATTATTGCCCAAATCAAGTACTTTTTAGAGAATATCTGTCACTGAGAAGCAGACAAAAAGCCCAGAAGTTACTGTTGATGAGAAAATCAAGTCATCTCCTTAGCTGGAGGGATGTTGTTTTAGATTAGTCAGTTGGGGTGAATACACCCTGCAGGACAGTGTTGTCTCAAAATACTGATACAGAAAAAAACACACCCAGAGCAGACACGAGTATGTAAAACAGCTTGACACTGGTGCCCAAAGCCCCAGGCTGACAAGCAGTGATGACTGAGATGAAGTCAGCATGATGTCTACTGTCACAACACGTACTCCACCAAACACCAGTAAGAGCGCACGTATACTCTAGGCCATTTCCCTCTCTCACGCATACACTGTCTCTCACACAAACGCACACATTTATATACATGTACACAAGGATGCACTCCCTGATTGGACAGAAACAGGCACAGCATAGTTCCTAACCCTAACCTCACTCAGCCTTGGTGAGTCAGCTAGGACTTGATAGGATTACAGTGCAGATATACTGGGCCAAGAGCATTCTGACAATAAACTAAGACACTGACCCCGCTACACTGCATTCATTACTTTAAAGAGCTATTAAAAATAAGAAAGCAAGAGCAAAGAGGAAAGGACAAAGAAACAGAAACAGTGAAAAAAAATCAAAGGAAACACTGTGCATACATCAAATGTATCGCTTGAGCAAAACTATATTTCTCACTAGTTCTGAAGCCGTTAGTCTATTAATCGATTAGTAAATTGAAATAAAAAAAAATGGCCAACTGTTTTGATAATTGCTGTCAAATCAATTGTCAAAGCAAAATGGCTACATTTTAGCTTCTCAGATGTGACGATTTGCTGCTTTTGCCTGTTATATAACTGTAAATTTGATATATTTTGGTTGACAAAACAGGTAATTTAAAGATAGCTCTAAGAAATCGTGATTTGTCCCTATCTTCTTACATTTTATAGACTACAGATGAAAGATCTACAGCAAATAATAATAATTATCCTCATACTATGTAAATGTAGGTGATTCTACTTTGTTTTAAATGCCTTGTGGTACTAATCCTAATTCCATACCACATATTAACTGTATACTGTGTGCAAAGTTAGTGTACTTCATCATGTTGTACTAACACAAAATGATGTGCCAACGGACATCAATCTAAATGTGATTTTTTTTGTGAAAGTGCACAGAATAAAAGCAATTCGCTCCGTAAAGATTCAGTACTTTTTGGTATGTTTTGCAAGATCTTCCTCGAGCCATCTCGCCACTGTCTACTATTTGTCTTAATTCTTTGCAGCTGCAATTAGCTCTACCAGTTCCTTTGTTCACTGCTTTATGAGACAATGGTCTACATCAACAGCAAACTAAAAAAATCAAGCACTTTTCAGGATCTACACTAACTTTTGGAGAATTATCTCCGAACCTGCTTAGAATGTGTATATACTATTTCATTGGCACACTACGTATGTAAAGCATCTGCCTTGCTGTTTCTTGAGTGTTAGAGCATATAGTATCTCATTTATCTACGGTGATTGTCTTCTTCTGGTCACTACTTTCAAACTACACAGGTTAAACAATTCAGATGGCAGCCTCAGTCATATCAGTCAATACTCATAGAGCAGGGCAGAAAAGGCACTTACCTTGTGGCAAAACGGCCGTCATAATCCTCAATAGCAGGCTGAAAAGATAAAAGTAATATTTATTACTTTGTGTGCTTGTATACCTAGGATTGAAGTACCTGCTGTACTTGTATACAAACACTAGGTGGCAGCAGAAACCAAGCAGAAGTCTCCTTTTCAGTTACTGCAGGATTACTCATATCCAATTATGCAACACAAGACTAAACCAGATGGGGGCAACAAATTAACTGCGCAAGAGTAACAAGTGTTTGTATGTTTTTCATGGATAGTGCACATGTTAAGTTACCTGTGTGCCAAAGCCTGCCATGCTGTAGGGGCGTGGGCGGGTCTGTGCTAGGCTCTGTGCCAGCAGCCGGGCGGTTAGGCCGTAGTCAGGTGTGGGCAGTGATCCATCATTTTCCAACAAGTTCCCTGTGCTGCTACTTTTCCCATGATGCAGGCTGGGAGGGGAGGAAAACAAAGGCCTCAGACTTGGGCTCATTTGGGCTCATTAAGTTGACACACAGTTTATGACAGAAAAATGCTACATACTTCACTTTGAGCTTCTCACTGTCGCTCTCAGGCAGCACACGCGTGTAGGAGAATGGAAACCAGCCACGCCTGAGACAAGCGAAGACCTTGTTAAACTTACACTGTACCTATATGTGCAGCAAATATGTATCCAGTCTCACAGTGTGGATTCAGGCAAAATAGAATAAATGAATACATTACTTACATCTTGTTCTTCTCATTCTCCCCATAGTGCCAGCCATCGCGGGCTTCAGGCACTAGCAGGGTGATGACATCTCCCTCGGAGAAGCTGAGCAGGGTGCCGTTGTCGCCCGCAGCATGGGAGAAGATGGCCTGGACCCGGGCGCGCCCGTTCTTTTCCAGGCCTGCTGCCATGGAACTGGACCTGGGCAGGGTCCGTGTCTCTCCTGACAAGTTTGCGGACAGAGACAATGATCGGTGACATGAAAGTTCAGAGAGTTGCAAATACTCTGAATAACTGGAGTCTGCAGTTCTGACTAACGGTAACATTTATGTCTCTTTAGGCACAGTCAGCAGCCAGGCAGATGATCTAAATTTAGCAATTTCTTAAATGCGTTTTGAACAGCATTTGTAAGCATCCATATATCACTGCCAGATTAACTGAAACTCTGGTATAATCACGATAAACAAATCGGAATATAGATGAGATGATTGGTATACTATCTCCTGCCAACATTTCTCATGAATACCATTTCTAGGTGTAGATTGCTGCCTCTCCCTGCTCCTCTGTGACACCGAAAAGCACCGTCCATAATCTTCCCAAACAAACGGCCAACAATGTAATTTAGCACTTAGCGTTAAACGTAATTTGTAGGTGATATCAGTCTAATGCTAAAACTCTCCTCAGGATACTTTTAAGTAAAATGATATGAATAGATTTGAGGCTACTTGTAATTTTCTCGCTGCAGTGCTACTGTTGCTCATTAAATCCAAGCAGTGTTTGGACATCTTACCCACGGGGTTCTTATTCTTGGCGGGAGCAGGCCTGCGGACAGGAAGGGTGTTGGAGTAGACATCGCTGACCTGTCTCTGCGGCTGAGCCTGGGACTGGCCCTGTGCTTGGGTCTGAGGGGATGAAGGCCTGACTTGAGACACAGACATAGTCCCTCCATCTGTCCAATATTCCTCCCCGTGGACTCCTGTTGTCCCATTGACCATGGACATGCCATCAGGGCCCATCAGTCTCTGCAACAAACAAGTGGACAAGTAAAATTGTGGAAATGGCTACAGCAGCAATTACTTCATGAATTATTTAGATTAAGTCAAAGTGATATGTTATCATTAACATCTGCTGCGTTCATATTAATTCATCTTGATAAATTATAACTGGAGTCGATTTTGAAGTTTAGTGAGAGTGTAGTCTGTCAGCTGCTGAAACATAGACTCTAAACAGCTCATTAACTTGAGTGTCGTCTTTAAAGTGAGATGAGAGAGAGAGAGAGAGGTTTGTTTGATTTGGTTCTTCATGGAGGGCAGCTCCTTCACAGTGGTGGAAAGTCAGGAAATTGTAAGTTCTCTTAAGAAAAACAAGAACAATTTCTATATAAATTGCCCTAAATTCTAAGTCTGTGATGTCTTATCAAAGACTACAGAATTCAAAATAAAAATGTAAGTATTTGCTCCGGCTAAAAGACCCTAAACCCACCGCTGGGTGTCCCAGGCCACTGCCCATGAAGACAGCCAGCTCTGGGGGCACAGGAAGAGGCTGGGCCCCGGGGATAGGGTCTGAGATGACCAGGTTGGATTTGGAGGTATGCAGGGGGCTTGTGCCCCCGAGGGCGGCAGAGCCCATCTGCTGGGCCAAGAGCATGGCCCTCTCTGGCAGCTTGTTGGGGTCTGAGCAAGCCTGTTGCCACACTGGGATCTTCTGGGTCAGAAGGTCTTTACCCTGGAAGGAGGAAGGGAAGATTGAAGAGAATAAAATATCAATGTAGCAGTAGTGTAACCGGAGAAAGTTTAGCACATCTTTTGTTAAACCTTCAATTTCCACCCTCTTCTCTAATAAAAAAAAGAAAAAAAGAAAAAAAAAAAAATTCGAGTTTCTGGCCGGAAGGGTAGATTTCCTACTCCGTATCCGTTTGACCAATGCCCTTCTGCACAGCTATGATAAATGTTGCTGCAGTGGTGAAGATGTGGGACAGACAACATACAACCAAGCTGGCCCAGCTCCAGCATCTCACAGCCTGTGGACACCGGCTGTTTTTCTACAGCCCACATAAATGACAGTTTAACGGTTTAATCGCACAGACAGAAATGCATGCATTTGGCACGACTGTTTAGAGTACAATGCGTATGCACACTACATACAATTAACACTCAAAGTCAGTTTTTGTCCCGTTTTGTATGTGCTAATTTTTGCTCCCTCTCTCTCTCTCTCCTCTCTCTCTCGTCTCTCCTCACACCACACACAGCCACACACACACATCGACACCACACACACAGGAACCCCTGGGAGAGGGTTCTTCAGTTTGCCTGAACGGTGACACTCCTTCCCACGCACCACCCCCCCCCCATCCGGATTAATGACTAGACTCCATGTTGAAAAAAAGAAGCAGCAGGGCACAGTCGCCACAGTCACCACGGGTCCGACCACCAACACACTACAGGCGCGCCCCATTACCACCCACAACACACACCACACGACACACACACACACACACAGACACACAGACACACAGTCTTCCTCCAACCACATCTTCAGGCTGGCAGTTCACACCCACCAGTAATCCCAGGAGACTGATGTACTCCATTACCCAAGAATATCAAATTCTTGGGTAATGGATAGACATACATTTGTAGCACAAACACATACAGACCTAAACACAAAAATTAACATGGAAAAAGACTAAATCCTGCTTAATAATGCTCCATTACCTTTGATGGATGATATAGGGGGAGTCTGTTTGGATTCAAAGGTTCTTTGCTTCAAATGTCAACAGCAATGTGAAAATAACAAGCAGGTATTACACAATTCCCCAGTGACTGTTGTAAACAATATGGCTGAGAAACAGTTTGCAACTCTTGTCCTGTTCATTGCACCAAGCTTTGATTTCAATCCATCTTTCTCTACATTCAGCGTTTTGATGCTTATTCCTTTTAACGAACAAGCGAAGCAGTTCTCTACACAAAAAGGTGGCCAGACGCTGGAAGGTGCAGTGATGGATTACAGCTTCAGATGTGCCTGTCAGCTGGGCATTGTCTACAGTCTTAATGAATTTTTAAAATGAAGAGGCCCCTATGAGCGGTCAAAGCTAATGCGACTTTGAATTATACATCTCCTAGTATGCTCTTCTCTCTGAACAATGGTCTACAGCAGGTGAGTTTCAACTCAAACAGAGATGACAGATTGGGAGTAGCTGGCTTGAGTCAAGACTATTGCACAAAGGGAATTGTGAATTGACCTAACAAGCTCTGCACATGTCCCTTTTTGAACATAATGGACAGAAAATGTCTTCCTGATTAGCTAAAAGATCAGAATAACTAATACAGGCTCAGCTCCATTAGTGACTGAGATGCCACTGCAAACAATTATTTTATGATTAAACAAATTATTGAAGGAAATGCTTATTCTGACCATAAACTCATATCTGTGCACAGCCTTATTTGAATTTCCTTAATCGGCTTGTTGCTATGAGTGATGGACACACTATGTTCAGTCAAAGTTTGAACAGGTCTGCTTGCAAATGAGAGAAATTTCCATATTTTCTTGTTTGTCCTTTCCTTTCTCACTGACTGCAAGTAGGCTCAGTTGGAAAACAAGATGTAATATATTTTTGTGCACCAATCAGAATTTAGCAGGATGGCAGGGTGCTGCCATCATTGTCAATCAAATCTAATTTAGCCACACCCACACAGTCCTAATGAACCAGATGAGCTTTTGAGTGAAAAACTATTTTTTTCTAAACATATCCTTAAAATTATTCTAAATTATATGGCGTTCATGTCTCTCCTTGGACTTACCTTGCCATGGTAGGCGCTGCTGTTCTTGGCCACAGCACACTGGCGGTCCACCAGGAAGCAGTACCTGCGGCGCTCCTCGGACAAGGCTGTCTTGTATCCCTCAGCAATGAAGGTGTCAAGTTCAGTCTGCTTACTGCTGATGGTCTCTACAAACTGATGGAAAACACACACACACACAAGCACAAATGAGCATCATTTACCAACTGGGACACTTTGGTTAGAGATAATATCTACAAAAGAATCACAACATGCCAGTTATCTTTGCATTTAATACTTTTTCTGTTTCATGTGCCGTTATAGGTGAGACAGTGACAAAAAGGTTTTAGTTATGGGTGCAGGTTCTTCATAGCTTAGGAATAAAAATGGCAAAAAACAAAAAAAAAAAAACCACTTTCTGCACTTAGTAGGTAAAGCCAATGGACAGGGGGGTCTGACAAGCTAGCTAACCTGCTTCACATTCACACAATTACACACGTTCACACTTAGGAGCTGTTCAGCACAGCACAGTCTTGTACTGCCAATCACTGCACAGCTCCACTGGAGCAATTATGGGTTAAGTGCACCTTGGCGGTAATAGTTGTGCAAGGAAAGAGCCTTACTCAGTAACTTTCTCTGGCCAGATTTTCCCTGCCGAGTGCTACCGAGGCAAGGCAATTATGACTGAAGATCCCGCAGTGTGGAGGAGGAACTGTTCACAAAGACCCTCTAATCCATTTTTGTATGTCGGACAATAACAAATAACAGGTGTGTTAATGTGTGTATAAGAGTGAGTAACAGCGATAGGGGTGGTGGGGGGGTCCCGCGCTGTCAGTTTGTCTTAGCATCAGCGCTCTAAAAATGGGAAATGTCAGATGGAAATGTCTTACAGAGTTCACCAACAACACACACATATACACACACATACACACACACCTATACACACCTATACACACACACACACACACACACACACGCGGTCAGTAACGCTGGTGAGAAGCTGCGGGGAGTCTTATTTTGAAGAGGAAGTGGCATTTAGGCATTTTTGTGAGCATGTGCATACTCGCATGCCAGTCAATGTGTTTTACAAACAGCAGAGTTTGCATGTTGGTTCCTGAAAGTTTCAGATACTGTACTCTTAAAGTAGGTCGAATGTGTCCAGCTTCATGGCTTTAATAGTGTAACATCTGCTGATAAATATTTGACCTAGAATAATGTGTTATATTTATTGCAGTGATTTGACCTAGACCGAACTTTTCTTTGGGGTATTGGCTTGTTTTGAGTTTGTTATGGGGTGTATGTTTCTCATATATAACTGGAATCAAACACACATAGGCATGGGTAATCCCCGAACTATATGCATATACTGTATGCTTACAGTGTTAAAAATGTCAACCTTGTTTGTTGACACATGACTCCCAATATCTTTCTATATTGAGAAATGGTAAAGACAAGTACAGCATCGAGTTTATGGATGATTCAGTTACTTTTGTCATTTCAGTCTCAGCCACCTGAGAGAAGAAATTATCATAATCCATGATGCTGTTGGTGCTGTGGCGTGATTAATATTTCACTATTCTCACAGCATTAGAGTACATTTTAGAAAGTTCTACTTTAAATCCCACACAGAGCAATGCAAAGACTAATGAAGTTTGTTGAGTTGGAGTTCCTCCCTGCAGCCAAATCTAAGTTCCTGTGGTGCCACCACACGACGCAGATGTATTTCATTTAGTAACCACTAGAGCACACTACTTCCCCACTGCCACCATCCACAAGGTTAGTTCATTGTAATTCAAAGTGTGGAGGAATAGTTTAAGTGGCTTAATGATACTAGACAAAAAACATTTTGAGGAATGGCCCTTTTGTATTAGTATGGGAAGAAATTTACCAAAAACATTACACAAATCCACAGAGCCAATCTGTCTAATCAAGAGCCCGACCTTATTCTATGCACCTTAATCTCAAGTACTGTAAGTATTCTGAAACTGGTTCAGTTCATTGTTTGTTTTAGTTCTTGACAGGCACTGAGTTCATGAGTTCAGTTAAAGGGCTGAGCATGACCTCAACGAGGTGAAGAGTCCTCTGCTTCTGTCAAATCCACATGGCCCAATTCTCCAAGCATTCAAAAGGTCACTAAAGTAACCCAAGACAATGAGTGCAGTGGGAAAAGCCTAGGCAGACACCAGCCACTATTATATCTGAGCGACCTCAGGTTACATCATAGCTGGAGTGACTTGTTTTGCAAAGGTTATGAATATAAATGAAACCTGCTGCACATCGATGCAGTTCTTACATTCAGAATTTAACTGATCTGTGTGTCCCCTTACTTTGACACATTCAGGACAAAATCAGTTTCCGGTGATTACAAGCCCTGGGAAAGGGAGGGCTTCACAACACAAACTTGTTTATACTCCTTTTTATTCCTATAGGGATTCAAAAGCAATTTTTTCGTGCAGTGTTAAGAGCTGCTTAGGTCTGCTCTTCTCTTCCCTCATCATCAGCACTCTTTCGAATCAAAAGAATTGTAGTGTGACGCTCCCGGGCACAACAGAAAGCACCTACACCTACAGTACCTGCTTAAATGTGCTGTGTGTGTGTTTATTAGTCCTTATTTACTACACTTGCACGTTAACAACACCTTTTTATTCTGTGTTTATATGAATCACCAACATTCCCGGTTGGAATCACATTTCAATTTGATGCTACCACGCTGAAGAAACCCTGGGCTTATCAAACATCTTGAGATATTAATTCTGAATCCTGAACTCTGTCTCTCTATATCTCTGTCTGGGTTCTTATTAACAGCCTATGCAGTGCAAAGGAGTTTATCAAGATGAAACCCCCTTTCTACTGTTTCTTGGTCCACTTCACTGAACTACATAATGAGCTGATTATCATTTTGGCAGGGGCTTTACCCATTGATGAGATGGCACAGTGAAAGTGTCTTATGGCAGGAGAGAACAGGGAGTGGAGGAAAGACAGACAAAGAGACAGACAGAAGTGGGAGAGACAACAGCATAGCGCGTGTGTGTGAGAGAGAGAGAGAGAGAGAGAAGAGAGAGAGAGAGAGAGAGAGAGAGAGAAGAGAGAGAGAGAGAGAGAGAGAAACAAGACTGCGATCAATGAAATGCGGCCGCCATCTGCGTCCGTTGCCAGACACACTTTACTTTTTAATGAAAAGAGACGAGATAAAAAAGAAAACTTCTCATCTGCTAAAATAACACAGATGTGGTGGAGGAGGACAAGCGGGAGGGAATGTTGAGCTCGCCTTAGCAACTTTTACTTGTACTGTACTTTCTCAACTGCCTCTTAGTGCCTGAAAGAACCCATCTCTGTCCACACAAATTACACTAAACACTCTCAGACAACACATCTGTAGTTGGTCGCTATCTAAGCCTTGTTAGGTGGATGGTTGTCACTGTGAAGCGCGGGTCTTGAGGGAGTGCAGGGCTCTCTCCCTCTCTGTGTGTCGTCCACCCCGGGGGACTCTGGCACAAACTAGTTGACTTTTCTCTCACACGCCCACAGCTGTGATATGATCAGTGAAAGTGAGCAGGCTGAAAATGAGAAAGGGAGATTGATTTTCCTTTTCCCTGCTAACCGACTGTGTGTTATGAGTCTAGAGCCTGATGAGCTCGCTCTTCTGCACAGACGGCCCAATTGATCAGTCATACAGACTCAATAATAGTGCTGGGTAATGCTACCACTCTCTATGTCCAATATGCAGCAAGTTTGAATTGTTGGGCTTTTGTGCCCAGCAAGTGGTTTGGCCTTAGTCCCACTGTCGCCGCATCTACTTTGATCCACAGTAAAATACTGTCTCATTCAGTTTGAACTACTGGCAATGAAATATGTCATAAAGGTACTCAGAGGACAAATCCTAAAGCTTTAGGTGAACCACTGACCTTTTGTCTGCGGTCATCAAGCCAAACTTCCAATTAGAACAAATAAAATATCAAAGTTTATTAGGAAAATTGCGAAGAGGTGGCAAGAATATTAATCTTTGCTTTGTGGAAGAATAACATTTTAACACATGCCCTTAATGCCCTTGTGGCCTTTTGTAACCCCTTAAGACAAACTTTAAATTAGCCCCAGACGTATTTTTAATTTTGGACAAAACCTCTGATCTGCAATAAAAGATTCATCTGGTGCTTCATGTCATGGTGAAAACCTATCCGAGGGCCTAATGATCAAACATGAGGCTGTCAGGAACATGTAACAACTTGCCATTCTTGACTGAGATTTCCTGGCTTAGTGCATTTAAATATCCCACCAACCCACCCCACGCCCACATCGCAAGCCCAGCTCTATGCAAAACTGGACTGCTGCACACACTGCCAAATTTAATGCCTTTAGACACAGTGGAACAAAATTTGACACAGCAATCAGACCAATCCAGCGCTGCCATACCATCCAAGAAAGGAAAGGGTAGATGTGTGCAACTGTATAAACTCTGAGCCCTGGACAGAGGAGGAGCCTTCTTCTATAACCTGGGTAGCAAAGAGCAAAGTTTTATACCCAGTGGTCTCTACAACAACAACAACAGATAACAACACTGTATACATAAGTGCCGGTAGAATCATGTTTCTGGCCCAGCTATCCATCTGATTCAGTCATGGCCGGCCGCACTTCACAGCAAGACCAAGGAGCTCAGCAATTACCCTGCAAGCCTTGACCTGTTAGTTTCCATCCCTCCAGGCAGAAAGACTTCCAGCTTTCAGTGAAATCCTTGTGAAGGAACAATCGTCACGGTCGCCATTTTCTGCAGCATAATTTCTTCAGTTTGACAGAAACACTGGCTACAGAACTGAACCAATAAATAACTTGTAAACAACACCACAGTGAAGGCCTACAATAAGGGTTTAATACAGAAATGGTGCGTCCTTGCAGCCGTATGTGTGTCTATGTGGTGTCTATTGACGGAAAACTAAATGTGAAAAGATAACTAATTAAGTTATGTTGAACTCTGAAGGTTCATTACAACAAATCAAAAACCAATTCTCCTGAGGTGCTCTGTCGGAGGTTGCTTTACTATGGAAATAATCACATGAGTGATGACGCCCAGAGCAAACTCTGCTTTGTTCCCTCAGTGAATCATGTGACTGCTTCGGTTTGACATATAATCATTCTGACAAGTTGTGAATGTTGGCTGTCTGACTCCAGAAGACTGAAACAGTAGCTAAAAAATATTTTTCTTGAAAGCAATTTATCCATATGTAGCAGTTACACAAGCAGGCACTCCACACATGTGCCATGTCACCTATAGAGACTTTTTACATGGTATCTGTTAAAACCAGACTTGTATGTAAAAATAAATCCACAGTTTTCACATGACATTCATATGGAGAGTGCCTCCATAGCTGAATGGTTACACCACACATGCAACATGTCATCTGTAATATGATTACAGCCATTGACCCCCCAATTTCCTGTCTGCCTTTCCTGTCACTGTTGCTGACTAATAAAGATATAGAACTGAAAAAATAAAGACTTATGGGGTTTCTGACTAAGATATCTATGACTAAATACACAGAAAGTTGAAACAAAACACTTCAAATGACTTCAAAATAATAGCTAATTAATATCAAAAACACATCTTATATACAGTTTAAGGAAACTTATAAGATGACATAACTATAAAACTAACTAACTATAAATATGGCAACTTGTAAAAATCTTGGTAAATAATAGCATTCTGCTGTAGGCATTTATTCTGAAATGTCTGTGTGTTCAGGTACACCATCCTTAGAAAATTTGCCATCTTACCTAAGCCTCTTTGGATAATTAAGTCAGCTATTTTGTCACGTATACACAAGCTTTGCTCATTCTGTTAAAAACCTTGATTAAAGCCGAAGCACATTGGCTGAAGTAAATGCGTACTCTTCTAGTACATCAATTAGTGCTGCTGACTTATTTTCTTTTTCACGTGTGTGTCTATGCGCCCGCTGTATGTGTGTAGATGTACGAACGATTGGCAAGGGCACACAATTCATAATCAAACCTCCACTATTTGCCTTCCCACTCAGGGCACCTTGTCGCCACTGCATCCACCCCCATCCTTGCTGTTTTGTGCTTTACTTTATGAAGAATAAAGTCATTATTTTGCACCAAGACTCATGAAGCTCCAATCCAACAGTCACCCACATGCATGTAAAGTCTGCTTAAACTAACTACAACAGTGCTACGAACTGGCTTGAGTGTTTATATATATATTTTTTTTTTTATTATTTTATTATTATATTGTTTTTGTCATTTCTGGGTATTTTGTTCCCTTCTCTTCTTTTGCAGTAGCTCTTCACAATTGGAAGTCAATTTGTAATGGTTATATGAGGCATCTTTATTTCAGTGTAGTTTAATTCTGACAACTAATGCAGTATCAGGCTTTGTGCAAAAGCCCAACAAGAGGCTCACCTGCATCTCCTTCTCGCCATACTTGGAGGGGTTCTTGCTGCCCTGGCTCTTCCTGCGCAGCTTCTTCAGTTCAGCCTGGCACTTCTCCAGACTCTCCCCTTTGCTCTTGTGTTCCATCTGGTATTTCTTCAGGGCAGCCTACGTGGGGCAACAGGCAGAGCACAAACACTAAATTAGGACCACAAATTAAAAAGCCTTAATGAAAGAGGGTGGGCCGTAAATATGTACCACTACTGCCAACCCATTTCTGAAAGTTTTTAAGGCTAATTCCTACTTCACAAACAGCCGTTGGATACAACTCATTTTATGACCATGTGGAAATCATCTTGTAGAGCCTTGAAATTTTAGATATAGCTTTAGATATGCAAACCATCATAACATTTCAGTGATTGTTGGTGCATTTACCAAGGCTTTGACATGCGAAAGCAATCTTTTCAATTAAGGAAAAAAACAAATTCACGCAATTTTTTCTGATATTTACTCATTATTTGTCTTCCAGGGTTTGATTTTGCAACATACAGCTCGTGATTGTGTCTCTTAAAACATCGACTGCAATTGATTACCCATTTCAAGCAGATTTCAAGCGCATTTTCTTCGCGTAGTGAGAATAACAGACATCCGTGGCAGCCTGCAAAGTAAAAACTAAAGTGTGATTTGTAGAACAAGCAAAGTGACTAGCCTAGTCATTTTACAGCCAGAGTTTGTTTATTTAATTCATTTAATTTGCTTATTTAATTATTTATTTATTCAGAAAAACAACTTTGTTTCCGGGCTGTACCGGCTCTGTTGCTATAGTAACTGTGCCTGGTGTGACAAAGCTCATGTGGTTTCTCTACGAGGCAAAATTGGCAGAGGAGAGCACATGCATGAGGGTTCAACACCCACATTTGCATACTGTAAGACACTGAGGATGTAGGTATCCCTCTAGGTATTGTCTGGCTGAAAATGAGCCGAAACGAAGCTGTTGTTTTTACTGGAAGACTAGCAGCATGACACATACAGTGTTTGGACTTCATAACAGAGATGGGTGGTATTAGTTCTATAGGCCTGAGCTGAACTGGAAGCTCTAAACAACTTAATTTAACATTTTAAATTCATCTGCTGTCCCTTAATTTTCCGAACCCAATAACAATGAATCACTCATCCTTTCATTCCCTTCATGTCCTTGTGAGAAAGCAGTACAACCAGTATGCATTGCTCTGCTATCCATATCGACAGTTTAAGAAACCGAGGCTCCCCGGTGGAAAATCCCCATCACATAGATCATGCAGTGTATCGATGGTTAGAAGAAAAACACAACTGGGTATTGTGAAAAGTTTGCCCTTAGTTTACAGGGTCAAATTGGGTAATCAAGATAACATCCCTAGTATACGCATCATTGAGCTGGAATGTTCCTCCTAATTAACAAAGCAAAAGCCTGTTGACTTTTTTGCCAGCACCAGTAACCCACGACTCTCAATCACTGGCTATTACTGCAGACAGATAATTAGTGTGATTAAATCTGATTAGAAACAAAGCAGACAGTAGATAAACTTTGGTACACTTGAAGAATCTGACCATTGTCCTTTACAGCTTATCTGCCATAAAAAGCTCCTCTTCATTTTGTAATCTACTGTCTCTTTATTTTCAATGCATTTTACGTTTATGCCCAAATTCTGACCTCTGTGTAATGATGGAAGAGTGTTGTAAAAGCCCTGATAAGTCATTATGTGAGATAAGAGAACAAGACAGAGAGAACAGAGAGAGATGCACCACTGGGAGCGCGCAAACACACACACACTTCAGTCTTAGAAAACACTCTTTTTGAACTCAGTCAAAATTTCAGATGATTAATTCACAAAGTCTGAAGCAAAATGACTGCTATTATCACTGCGGCAGATCGGTGGGAAATTCATTAAAAGTAATGGATGTTAAAACCTCGGGGATACACCAGGATAGAAATGTTTGAAATGGTTGATGCGTCTGAACTAACGTAAAAAGCAAAAATATTTCCATATGCTTTTCCATATCAATTTAGACAGCAAACATACATTTTACAGATGTGTAAGGAGTCAAAAATGATTTGTAAATGGTTTTCATTTGAACTCAACATGACAACATCTGATTGTACTGATAAAAGGAGCCTAAATGATTCACAAACAATCCTTGTTGACTGAGCCGAAGCACCTCGTAACGTGGTCCTTCTAACAATACAATATAATAATGGCAACGTTATCCCATCCCCCAAAACAACGCACAACAGTGCTGCTCTACACTCAGGCTACAACCCACTCATTCTAAAGATATCACATGTAGACCAGCTCCACAGTGCTCACACATACACATACACATACACATACACATACACTGCAGTGGGGGGTTTATTATAATCAGTCTACCCTTGACGGGTGAGTAGACTTGAAATGTTATTTCAAAGCATCTCTTTTTTCACAGACATATCCTCTAATTGTCTCAGAGATAGACTTTGATCCAGATGTTAAAACACAACTTCACCTCCGTCTCAGTTATCACTTCAGTCAAATTAGGCCTCCACAGATCTGATGTAACATAACAAAGTACCACAATGAGCTAAAATAGGCATTTATTGAATTTGGAGAGTGAGCCAGTCAGATACTCACAGTCAGATAACGAGCATCCAGATCCACCTTCTTTTCCAGCTCAGAGAGCAGCTCGTTGTGGAAGGATTTCAACTGGGGAGGAAGCACAAAACAGTTAAATGAAATGCTAATGATTGTTAGTTCAATGACTAAATCATTAAAGGATTCTGCATGTGGATGCAGAGGTAAAAAAAACAGAGACTTTCACACCAAGTTGTGTGTAATAGGCAAATAAGTTATTAAAATACATGCGTTATCCTAGTTTACTCAGTTACTGAATAAATGTTTTACCAACAAAGTACCGGCCTGTGAAGCTTCTCTCAGCTTGCAAATCACTGTCAGTCACAAATTCAGTGCTATCTGACACAATATTTAGTCACTAGATTGTAAACTGAATCAAATGTTCAATCTCTGCTCTGTTGACATTCATTTTTATATACTGGTCAATGTATGTGCAATAGGTTACTATTTCCTTCACATTTATATGATATTGTTTAATGAACAGAATCCCAGCAATAGGCTATAGTATACTACAAAGATCAGATTTGAGGAAAATAAACTTTTTTTTAGTGGCTGAAAGTGAGCATGGACTGATAATTTTGTTCCCAATTTTTAGGATTGGATTCTGGGAAGCAAACACTGGACAATCTTTATGGAAAAGAGGAAGGAGTACATACATATGGACAGTAAGTATAGGAATAGGGTTATTTAGACAAAAAAAAAAAAAAAAGAAAAACCTAGCCTTTACAGGCAGCTGGCTTGTGGATGCCTAAGTGATCTCAGGGTACTCAAACTCCAGGGCATCCACAGCCCTTCCTCTATACCAGACACACACTAATGAACTTGATATTGACTGTGAATAACTCACCATAAAGCACACATTACCCTGAATTACTGTTCAATTAACTCACTCGAATTCCCCAGCCACCTCCTGTGTAAGCATTTTGGGTTTATATGAGCCCAGCATGTCTGTTCATTCAATATAAGTTCGTGTTCATTTAATTGTCATGTATTCCTTGCACTGCCCACAGGGACAAATCTGTGTCACGGCCCGGCAAATTTGTTGTGGAACATCACAGAGCAGAGCCACATCACCAAACAAAAATGTATTGCTGCAATAAGTTGTTGTCGTGTCTGAACTTCTGTTAAAATATCACATTACAAGACCTTTCACAGAGCCTGAGGTTTATAGAGGGTGCTGTAGCGTTGAAGCACACAGCAAAAAACCCTTTGAGCTTAGAATACCAACCATCTCCTCTAGCTGCACTTGGATCTGTCTGTGGACCTCAGCCATCTGGAACAGCACATCCCCTGCACAGAGAGAAAGAGGGAGACAGGGAGAAACACATGAAGAACACTCAACAGCACAAGCATCCCTAGAGCAGAAAAACAGGGAGAAAGGTAGAAACTAGAGAAAGAAAAAGGGAAGAAACAAGAGAAGCAAGAGAGAGAAACAGAGACCCCAGCGTGCAAAGCTCATGCAGTAACACAAGACACACAAACATACGGGACAAGTGACTTGTAACTGGGACAACGAAGAACATGATGAAAGTTTGTTTTTTGGTACAAGATAACAGAAAACAGAGAAAATGAAACAATAACAAGTGATGACAAGTACAAAAAATGGGGGAGACAAAATGCTTAAAATTAAATTCTGGTTCTTCAAGCGTGTAAGTACCGATGTCTCGTGGAGATCAAACATATTGCCTTTCTTTCTTTGATTAATCTTAACATCAGGCAATGTGATTTCTAGAACAAACAAAAAAAAAAACACCTCAAAGAAAGGTTAAAGTCTCCACACAAAAAGGAGTAGAAAAGGAAATAACCAAAAAAAGGGAAGCGATAAGGAGGGTCATGCAGCTAGTGAGATTTTATTTTCATATACCTACAGGCTGCCTCTTCTGAATATGCAGAGCATTGTCAAAAAAAGGAACACAAAGAGCTACGTTGAGCGAAAGACACATACATATACAGACCTGGTGGAAACACAATGTGAGATCAGCATGTACAGAGAAATGAGACACGCATACATTTCCCTGACCAAAAGTGTCCAAAGCCCCTTAGCTGTTGCCTAGTGAGAACATGTGATATCAGCTAGTGTTAATAATGGTTTATATCGATTGCATTCAATTAGTCAGGAAACATAGTTCCATTAAGTTCAAATGACTGTATATTGATTTTAGTGAGCAGACTTTATCCACTGATATCAATGATGTTGTGACAGGTCATATTTTAGTATAATTTAATAAAATTGAAATAGCATCTATTAGCAAGGCAATGGCATTTAAATAGCTATTAAATAACATCTATTTAATTTTGGCAACTAACAAGCATGATTAAAAGAAGTGGAGAAGAAGAGGAAGAGAATTGTGGTAATATATTATCCATCACTGTGTTGCTGCAGACAATAATAGTATAGAAAAGGTAAGTACAGGATATTTGTGGCCAACTAGGAACTACATACTTTAGTGCAGCACTTCAGATTTATTTAATCTCATTTCACGCTCCCCTGCTGGGTCCTCCTTTGAAAGCTAACCTATAAGAGTGCATCTCAACCCATCTCAAAATGCTGCGCAAGTGAAATCTGAACTTTGTCGAATTGGTTTCGGTACAAACTTCACCAAAGGGCTTTGGAGTGGTCTCCGTCTCAACAGACAGGACGTACAATGCAAACTGCTACAGACAGGCGACACTGAAGCGACCTTGAGTGGACTCCAACTGCTCCAAAAAAATAAAAAAATAAATGCAAATGTCATTAAAGTTCTGCAAAAAATGTATTGCAAAAAATTCACTGCATGTTCCCTTATTAACTTTAGCATTTGTAAGCAGTATATAAACATTTAATAAATGGTTTAGATTTGCAGTTTTAAGCAGATATGACATTTTAAAGTGTTAATTGTTATGTACAGTATTAGTACAACAACAACAACTTCTCTTATATTTTATATAATTAAACCTGTGTTTGACTATTACATATTGTCATTCATAATCTGCTTATACACCAGCCTCCACTTAGTGTATGTACAAATCTTATCTTATCGTATATATAAGGACTTTTAGTAAGTTATGGAGAAGTCAAACAACAGAAGATGAATTCCTGAAGACAAACATTAGCTCAACATTCTGCAAAATCATAGACATAAACACTGATAAAAATAATGACCTACTAATTTGTAAAATTCTATTTCAATCATTGTGTTGACCTCTTGATCACCAGAAACATGTAAGAACATGTAAGTGTGGGCAGTGTTAAGAAAAGGTTATCCCCCCCCCCCTACAATTCCTGTATACCTGTGACAACCAGGCCTTTTTGCCAATGGTGCAACCTGCCCGCTGATCTTGGGCCTCACAAGAGCAGAGAAGCAGGCCAAAGCCTCCTGTCAGTTCCCAGCAGGCCTGCTAAGCAGCTTACAGATACTCATCCCTGATCACAGCCCTTCAAGGCTTAGAAACCCTGGCATTCTGTTGGCGGCTTCAACTAGCTGGATCAATTAACAAATGAGCAGCCATCACTGTACCGCAGACAGACACACACACACACGTCAAGTAAACTGGCAGTAGGACAGGGTGTTTGCAAGAAGCCAGAAAGGTAAAGAATGAATGAATCTGCAAGAGATCTCATCTTGTCATCTGCAGTTTCATTACTGCACAATGTATGATGCCAAAGCATAGGAAAAAAAAAAAAAGAAATCACACTTTGGAGATGCAAATAGTTGCCATGGCAACTTCGATATTATATCACAAAATAACAGTAAGGGAAAATTGGATTGCAACCTTCAGGGGAAGTTAACAGCAGAGAATTCAATCAAGAATCAATAAAGAGGGCATAATGTGGAAAATTCGATATGTGTTGTGCAACATTATTGTTTCGTACAGAAAATATTTGGCAGGCATGACACAACCTGTGAGACTTAGTGTAAGAGCTGCCAGCTTGACGAGGATATCCGCATACCAGCTAAGAGCGACATGACAGACGGGTCGATATCCACAGTGACAAGCTCTTGAACACGCATGGTATACACTTTGACACAAAGACACACAACCACACACACAGTAAATAAACCCTAAAAGAAGATCATTATTGTAACAAGATTTCCGGGCTTGCTTCAACCCCGCCTGTGTCCCTGCCTGAGAGAAAACAATAGTTCCTTTGTGGGGAGGTGAGCTCAGGTTGAGCTGCACCTGCAGCTCAGCAACAAGCAGCCACATGCCTCCTAGCTTAAACCACTGAGTCAGAGAAGGAAGCATGAACACAGGACTTACTTGGGTGCATGCGAACAGACTGTCCCCCCTGAAGTATGACATCAGCTTGTGTAGATGTATCGACTGCTTGTGTAACAGAAGCAATGGTACACCCACACAGGTAGAGAGAAAAAAAAAAATCACAGAATAACAGAATGTGGGCTACGGAGCAGAAAGAAAAATATATTTAAAAAGTGGAAGTTTGCAATGTTGAACAGAGAGAACAAGAAAGACAGAGATGGAGGGAGAGAGGAATGGAGGTGGATGGAGAGACACTGAATCACTGGTGAAGGTCAAGCTGGATTCACTACGGGTTGTCATGGAAGCAGGATAATGCTAGGGTCGTTGCCATGGGAGAAGTTGCGAGATGAGGGGCAGAGTGTTGTGTTACAAAACACTGTTCAAAAGATCTCCACCCTTACTATCAGCTATCATTACATCAGCATCTACACTCGCCTGGGGAGGAAAGTGGAGTGAGTCCCACCTGGGGAGTCTTTGTATTGTAGGTACATGTGTATGTGTGTGACTAAACAGTACTGTGATGTTAATAACTGCCTACCTAGCATGCTAAGTCACAAGGGAAACAAACAAGTGGGCAGGTATAATGGGGCAGCGGGATAATGTGCGAGACGCAAATAATAGTTGAGAGTCTGGGTGGCCGCGTGAGTGTGCGCGTTTGTGTACACATGTGCACGTACACTCCCTGTGAAACCACAACACAGTTAATCTGGAAGTGAGGGCAGCTTATGCTCACAGTTCACCCATCCCACACACGCACACTCGTGTGGTTTTGTGAACTGGATGAAAGCCTCTCACAGGAGGAAACTATTGATACGTATATGACATGTTACTAAAAGTGGAAGCTCAGTCACAGCTGTTCAACCTACTAGCCTAATATAAGTTTGTCCAGCAATGGTGTCATGCATTTAGGGCATAATGCAGGTCTACAGGAGAAATTTAAGACTGCTAAAGAGAAGTGGGCCACAGTGCAGTTGTAAATTATATTTTTGTTTATTCTAAGAAGGTCTCAGGTAGGTTGCCGTGCATTGTCTTCTGGATAAGACTGTGAGTAGCAAATCCACACCATCTGGTATCAGTGAGCCAAAATCCTGCCCTCTTTTTTTTTAAGTCGCTGTTCCACTAGCCTTAACCACATAACACATTTTATAACAGCAAAAGCTGAGGCGGAATGGTGCGGTTTCCAGTCTGTGTTCTGAGATTAAGGGTATTCTATTTTAATTTCTTGCCATTTTAACAAACATAGCATAGTTATTTAAAAAAAAAAAAACAGTTTATTTTGAGCTCAACAACATATCCCATGAGTCTTAGCCACATAATGGCTGTCAAACCCTCATGGGAACTGTATTTTTTGAATGATAACAAAGAGGGTAGTTTTTTCATAATCCTGCTGACAAACAAACAACACCGCAGATAATATTCTCCTGGATGGAGCTAATTTTGTGCTGCATAGCTGATATGTCTTAACCTGCTCTATGTTACCCTCTACTGAGTTGCTGATTGGTCCAGAACATATGGCAGTGGACTGGTTCATTTGTCATGTAGCTGTCATGAACTGTATCTGGTTGTACAAGGCTAGGGGGTAACCACCCCATAAAAACATCTTCATGTCAGCTACAACCTGATTTGTGTGATATTTGTCATGAAATATAAACATACATCCTTCACATTGTCACCTCTGATTGACACACAATTTGAATGGCACAGTAGAGGGTTAATACCTTAACAGAAACCTGCACAAGGCTGTAAAAGCAATCATAGGATGTGATTTAAACTCACATAAAAAAAGTATCTCTGAGAGAAGCTTTGATTATTGCAGCGCAAAGACCCCTTTTGATAACATATCTGCTTTTCTTGTTGCTGAAAGCATAAGCGATGAATTCCAAGCTTTGATTGATTTGACAAACTCCAGCAGCAGGAAAAGTTACCCTGACTGTGACATATGGGTAGTATGTTTGTGACTGGGTGTGTGTGGAAATCTTTAAAAGATCTGGGGGTTTTTGTCTCTCCGCTCTTTGCGACAAAGTCTTCTAAGAATCAAATAAAGTTCA